TATGGTAATATCTTGGATTGAAGGCTGATAGCATTCTAAGATATGTAGGATATGAGAAGTGTTGTGGTGAAACTTCTTGTGTAAACTGGGCTTGAGGTAGATCAAAACCTGGAAGATACAAAGGGTCGGCCATTTCTTGTGATGGGGAGCCTTGTTGGCTTGTGTTTTTTTCTATTTTTTTTCCTTGTTCAGCTTATTGAGAGCATCTAAAATCTTGCTCAACTCATTCTCAATCTTTTCATGTGCTTTCTCTAACTATTCAAATCTATGAAAATTTTTGTGCTCCATCTGTCTGGCTCTGGCTCTTATGTTATATCGACGGATATGGTTCTCGCTAAATGGAGCTATCTTTGAACCTTGAATATCATATATTAGAATTAGCAAATTTATATAACTATCTCATGGTTACTTTGTTAAGTGTAATGCGTGAGAATGCAATGAATAAAAATGCATGTATGCAAAGAACATTTGCCTTAAGATGGTATTTAACTAAAAGATTTCATTTATTCCAAAAAATTTTTATTTACATTAAGTTTATCATCTTAGATTTATAATCATAAAATTGCTTGATCTGTTCATACTGGGCCTTGGCTTCTTCGATGAAGTTTAATAGACGCTGCCCATGCTCTCCTACTGGGGTCACCACTTGTTTCAATACCTCTGCCTCTTTCACCATCTCTCTTACCTTGCATACCCCTTTACAATTTTGGGTCATTAGGTGCTCAATATATTTCTGTCTTTCTAAATTCTCTCTTTTACCACACCAGACTTGGTATGATAACTTTCTATGCTCTCTAACCAATGCAATAATATGGTCTTCTTATTCATTCAACTTTTATCTCAGCCTACTTAGATAACTATTCAGCATGTTATTCTCTGTCTATACTTGGGTACTTTCTTCTTCCAATTCAACATATTCTTGTTTCAATCTTGCATTCTCTTCAGTCAGCTCAACAATGGTTATGTCTTTGGCCCATTCTCTCACATATAACCTTTTATGCTCTTGGTGTAGCTTTTTTAAGTCTTCAACAGCTATATCACGTTCTCTCGTAATTTTGCAAACTCTGGTTTCATGACTTTCAGCTCTACCTTTTCACTGGTCTTTTTCTTCTCGAAGCTTCTGGATTTCTTACTTTAACTTATCTTTTTCAGACTCAAATTCTTTTGTCGCAAGCTCTAATTCTGATGGTGTCTCTTCAAGCTTTCCTCTTGTTGGTGGTTGAAAGCTTTCATAAGTGAATACCATTTCTTGTCTTCGCTTTGCTCTTCAAAGCAAATACCCTGGAGTGACTTTATCAATAAACGATTCAAGACTCACTCTTCGAAGATTTTTTCATGCTTTAATCATCTCATTCATCCTCTGAAATACTTTTGGCTCACTATAAGAGAAATCTAACTTATGAAGCCCATGCGTCATAGGAATGAACTATTTTACCCCAAACTACCTTCTCACTAGGAGTGGTGCATAATTTGTCGCTCCCTATAAACCTAAAAGTGGGACCATTGTATTATTCCCACATTGATACAATATAGGTTCATGATTCATCCACGGGGCCAACCACCTTACTTCTGTACTGGTCAATTTTTGTAAGAAAGTTACTTATTTTTTTTTAGATTTTTGTTCTAACTACCCACTTTCATAGAATTTCTTGATATGAGCTCGATTACAAACATAAAGCTTCGAGAAAGCACATTTTCTCTATTTGAAATGGCTTTTCATCTATAAGTATAATAACTGCATACAACCTATAAAGCACCCTCCATTCTGACGATAGTAATTCAAAGATCTGATAGTCTCTGCTAATATTATCATTGAAGGATTACAACCGTTGATCACACTCTCGAAGAAGTCAACCACCGCTATTTCAATGTAACCCAAAACCTTTGAAAATATCACCATTTCGTATATGGCTAAGGCAAATATATCTAACCCCCATTCTTCATTGGCATGTTACACCAGAAACTCATGAATGAACTTTCAAGGTAAGCAAACCTGTTCTTATTTCTTCTTTGTATGAGAATCCATAACTTCTTTGTCTATCCCCATGAGTTGACCCTTACGAAATCTTGATTGGTGTTTTTTGACATATATCTTATAAGGAGCCTTGAGGTGCAAACCCTATAAAATTAAATATTCTTCGATGTTTGGTGTCATATCAACTTCATTGAAGATGAAACACTTGTATGTAAGATCTCAAAATTAGGTTGCAGCTCTAATTAGTTGATCGTCGATAACTACTGTAAGAAGGTACGCTATATGCCCGTGTCTTTGACAAAATTACTCTTGTCTTGACGGACTCATCTTCTTTTATATATCAACTAAATCTTATAGATTATTTTATTTGAGAATGATAGATGTTTCTTGAGATAAGGTAGAATCATGTCCGATTGATAAGCAATCCCCTCTCTTCAGTTGAATCTTTTCTGACTGGATCCTTACTTCGTTGGTGACTCACAAGGTGCTAATACAGATGAAGAATAAACTAGTCGTTTTATGGAGTCCATGAAAAATTTTTGTTGAAGACCATCTTTCAAGCAAATGTTTTTTATGCAACTTTATGATATGAACATGAACCAATGCAAAAGAATGAGAGAAAAGGTTAGTATGCCCAGAAAAAAAAAAAATAACTAAGTAAATTAAAACATCATACAGAATAAGAGGAATGAACCCTATGCTTTTGGTTAATTCTAAAAGGGAAGAATGATGGCTCTATCTATAGGTTAGGCACTCTTAAGGTTTACTATATGTGGTTTGAGGTTAAAGTCTAAAGGTTTCAAATTGCTCCTTACATCATTGTTCATCACAGACTAGTAAGGCATCCTAATCCTCACCCATTACAGGCTACAAGCGAAAAAGGTTCAATTTGAGTGGGGGTATTTCGCTAGCCACTGCGGAGGCATTAAACCTCATGAAAGCAATAGGTACTTTACTCCCTCCTAAAAAGATGAAGCTCGGGTATAGAGCTCATGTTATGCATATGCATATGAATGACATAATTAATAAAGTAAATGAACATGAATGAATAAAAAAATCTATAAAAAAGGTTCAATTTTATTAGGCTTTTGGATAACACAAATTTATTTGCTGGCCTGACTCTTAGACAATCCCTAGTGGAGTCGTCAAGCTGTCATAACGTCTAGATTCGGGGATCTATCGCTAGACATTGACTTGAAGGAGTCACCACCAATCTTTTTTATCTAGGTGTGATTAGCCACTTAAGGAGTCTATCCTTTTAGGGAACACCTAAGCCTAAAGGTCCCTAAAAGAATAGGTTCAAGTCTACTAATCAGAACAGAGTTTGAGAGTACGGTTACGTGTGAGGAAGGTTATAGCACCCTCACAACGTCCATCGAAAGATGGTACCAGCTTAATTTTGTGTTATCCAATAAGCCTTAAAAATTTATCAAGTAATTAATTATTAAAAATTATTCTCAATTAACTCTAATACTTTTAGCAAAAAATTAAGAAAATTTCCTCACCTCAAGAGTATGCAAAGAGACTACTGTTTCACTTATAGAGGCTCTATCGTCGAATTTTTTAATATAAAAGAAAATTCAAGAAAACACAAAGGAAAAGAAATAAAACGAAAAAAAAAAGAAAAAGATGATTTAGCTTTAGGTATAAACCTTTTCCTCTTCAAAAAAAAAAAAACTCATTGCTTTCGTACAAGGAAAATTGATACTTTCAACTTTTTCAAAAAAAAAAACTTTTTTTAAAAAATTATTTTCAAAGAAAATTAATACTTTCAACTTTTTCTCGAAAATATTTTTTAGAAAACTTATTTTTAAGAAAAATTGATACTTTCAACTTTTTCTTAAAAATATTTTTTTGAAGACTTATTTTCAAGAAAAATTGATACTTTCAACTTTTTCTTAAAAATAATTTTTTTGGAATTTTATTTAAAGAAAATAAAGAAAATAAAATAAAATAAAATAAGAAATACTAAATAATTCTAATATAATCAATAAATAATAATAATAATAATAATAATAAATAAATAAAATAAAATAAAATAAAATAAAAACTTTAGAACGGCTTGGCTTAGAGGCTCGACTTAAGGAAGAAATGGCGGCTTGAAGATGCAACTCGGGGCATCGGTTCGGCTCGACTCGACTCCAGGGGTTGGTTAACACTCGAGTCCTCATCCCTCTCTCTAAACAACGAAGAACTTTGGTTGAATCTCGTCGGATTCTAAAAAATATCATCGAAATCTGGGTTTTTCGTTAGAAGTTCGTCGAAAAGTTGGTCGATTTTTGAAAATAGTTACCGAAAATTGGGTAATTGGCCGAAAAGTTCAACCGATGCCGAAAAATTCACCAAAAAATTTAAACTTTGTCGAAAAATTCAACCGAAATCTAAAAATTTTCCAAAAATTTTCAGAAAAAATTCACTTAAAATTCTTCAAAAAATCCTGAAATTACTTCTGACATTTCTGAACGCCTTTTTTCTTTCTCTTTTCGCTCTCTCTCTGTCAGTGTGTTTTTTGTTCTATTCCAACACCTATTTATAGGAGTTGATAAGAAGAGTTTTTGATCAATCTCAATTCCCTCTGGGACTTGGATTCAATCTTTGAATCTAATCCCAATTCTACCAGCCCCAAATTCACGTCAGAATCTCAGCTGTTCCTAATCCTAATCTCAATCGAGTAATCAGAAAAAGAAAGAAACAAAGAAAAAAATAAATAAAAAAATAAAGATAATATATTAATAGATAAATAATAATAATAATAGATAAATAATAATAAAATATATATATCAACAGATAAATAAAAAATAAAAAATATATATTAATAAATAGTAATAATAAATAAGATACAAAAAAATAAAAAATAAAAAAAAATAAAATAGACTTATCCATTTAGATCAGGCTCAATTGATCTGAGCTTGGACTAAATTAGATGTCTACACGAACTTATTAGCAAAAAAAGAAAATGAAAAAAATGAAATAAGGGAAAGGGAATAAAAAATGTGTAGGATGGAATAAGGGAAAGGGAATAAAAAATGTGTAGGATGGAAGGAAAGAAGAGTGAATTGTGAAAAAAAAAAAAACGTGAAACATCGGATGTCGTGATTTTGCTGGCTTTTGTCTGCCTGTCTGAGTTCCTCTTCCACGATCCCTTCATTTTCCAACTAATGTTTACAAAAAAATTGAAATTTCCTTTTCTCTCCAACTCTCTGGGGATCCAAAGAATCTAATTTCCAAACATTTCCTTTCCCTTCATTTCTCTCATTTATCGACGTCTGACTTTCCATTTCAACTAAACGGTACTATGGCCTATCGTTTTCATTTCCCTTTCAATGCGTTAGATCTGTTATTTGCTTTCTCCATTGATATCAATTCTGAGATCTAGCACTGTTTTTTTCTTAGATCTATTTTCCAATTTTATCATTTTTTTCCTTCTTTACTTGATCTGGATCTGTAGCATCATTGATTAGAGTGTTAAAACTGTTCAATGTGATTTGCTTTGCTTTTTTTTTTATTAACCACTAAACCAAATCTAAAGTAAAATTTCATAGTTTAATTAACTTTAATATTTTGCTCATTTCTTTTCACTCTTATATATTTAATGTGTTTGACTAATGTAGAATTTTGCAATTATCTTTGACGAGGGAAAAAAAATGAAATCTATCATTTGAGTTAAATTATTTTCTGCAAGAATTGTGTTCATAATCTGATTCAAAGAGGGAAAACATCTCTTATTGGTTAGTTATTGTACAACTCAAAAATCAATAGTTGGAGTTGAGTTGAATTCATGTTTGCGGATCGCCGTCACCGTGATCTGTTGAGCACAATACATTTCAGTGTGTGGATGTCGTTTGCACGTCATTGCTTTTGTAGGAATTAGCAAATTACTTAGATCTGTTCTCGAATTGGGTAATACATCAGAGGTAGAAGATTTTGTAGTAAGCCTAGGCATTGAGTTGGTTACATGGGTATCATGATTTTTCAATGCTGAAATTTACAAATTGGGTTAGTATTTAATGGGAAAAATGTTGCTAAATATTTGTGTTTTATGCAGTTTTTTTTTTTTTTAATGTGGTTTGGATTTTTTTTCCCCTAATTTTTCCTTCTTGAAAATTAGGCAAAATAAAATAAAAATTTATAAAAGTAGAACTAGTTTGCAGAAAAGGTGAATCACTGCTAGTCAAAGGTTCCTAAAGGTGGAAGGATAGTAATTTAAGAGAGTAAAGCCACTCTTGTGCTTTTTGGAATATCAGGCTATTAGTGGTTGTTCTAAGTTTTAAACTCATATCTTAATTGTACGTGTCTTTTCAGCATGGCTTTGTAGACTGTTCTCACAAGCATTTTTTTTTAATTGGATTTCAATAAATTAGCTGTTCAAGTTTTTTCCCTTATTTGTTGCTATTATTTTTGTAGGACTTATTGCTGACGTTGTTGACAAGTCTTGGACATCATATGCACATGGATGGATTATTTAAAGAACGTTGAGTGAAATAGGATTTGGGGTTATCACTAGCAACAAAATATAAAATGGCTCCAGCTAATAAGGCTGATAGAAAAGCAGTTGTAGATGTGGCTGCTTGGATGTTCAATGTTGTCACTTCTGTTGGAATTATTATTGTCAATAAAGCCTTAATGGCTACTTATGGTTTCAGTTTCGGTAAATTGCTTTTCCTTTCAAACTCTTTTGAATTGCTTCCTCCCTCCCTCTCTTCTTATGCCACAAACGGTAAATGATGTTGTGGCTTGTTATAGTTCAATTGAATTTGGAAATTTTCTTGGCAAATTCTCTTATACAAATATATAGGATCAAAGTTACGAGTTGCCATGAGATCAGCACATGAAATACAAATAAATGAGAATAGTTTGCTGAGCAAAGAGTTGCTGTAACAGTTGTGAGCATTATCTTGGAAAATGAAATCAGCAGGTGAGTTCTAAAGGTTTGAAAATTGTGATCATGGAGTGGTAGGGCTGAAGGGCAGATGATAGTGGAGTGGTAAGGCTGAAGAGCAGATAAGCAATCTTGCAAAAAAGCTGTAGAATTGGCCTTATTATACACAGAAATGAGGATGAGGTTCAAATCTGGAATATGTTTGGTATGGGTTTGTGGGGGTTGTAAATGGTGGAGAAAGTGAACAGTATGTTCTATGATTCCCTTCCCTACATACCCCCTTTCTTTTTGACCTGTTCTAGAGGGAGAGGAAATGATTGGAAGTAGTGGGAAACAATTGAAATAAAAAAAAAACTGTAATCATCAATAGAGATGAAGAGGAAGGCTTGACTTGGAAGTTGGAAGTAGCTGGGATTTAAGTGTAGGATGTTTGTGATGCTGGTATAATAATCATCTGCAAGTAAATAAGCTAAAGATTCTGGTTTTTGTTACTTTATGAATATTCTGATTATGCTTGCTGCAACAAGGATGTAATAAACTGTCACTAATTCCTTTGTATTTTATTGCAAATTGTTGCAGCCACAACATTAACTGGTTTGCATTTTGCTACCACAACCTTGATGACGGCTGTTCTAAGATGGTTAGGATACATTCAATCTTCTCATCTACCCTTGCCAGAGCTTTTGAAATTTGTTTTGTTTGCAAACTTCTCTATCGTTGGAATGAATGTTAGTTTGATGTGGAACTCTGTGGGATTTTATCAGGTAAAGTATAATATTTGCTGGATTTTCCTAGTTGTGTTTTTGAGGTGATTTGGAAATCACAGATTCTCCAATTCAATGGCAGATTGCAAAGCTGAGTATGATTCCTGTATCCTGCTTTCTGGAAGTTGTGATGGACAAGATTCGGTACTCCAGAGATACAAAGCTGAGCATAGCTGTTGTTCTTCTGGGTGTTGGTGTTTGTACTGTCACTGATGTGAGTGTTAATACTAAAGGTTTCATAGCTGCTTTTATTGCAGTTTGGAGTACTTCTCTACAACAGTATGTAAGTTGTTAATTCCTGTGCATATAAATTGAATCTTCTAATGTTCTGAATTGCTGTATTTTTTAGAACTTACAATGTAGTTTTTATTTTTTGTTATGTTTATTTTTGCAGTATGTTCATCACCTTCAACGAAGGTATAACCTTAGTTCCTTCAACCTATTGGGACACACTGCTCCTGCGCAGGCTGGAACACTGCTGGTATTAGGTCCATTTCTGGATTATTGGTTGACAAACAAGAGAGTTGATTCTTATAGTTATAACCTAGTGTCTGTGGTAAGTGTTCTATCTATATGTATTCATTGCTTCATGAGTTTTTTGCATATGGTTGTTGTTGCCATCAATGTAGAACAAGGTTAGATTTACTTGTTTCAGAGTTGCTGTTAGAATCATGTTTATATGAATTAAATGGCATGCGTTCATGAATTTGCATGCTGTAATTCATGCAATTACTTGTTTGTCTTGTGGCCTTCAGTTATGCTTAATTTGCATTGCATATGATGTTGTTGTTGTTAGCATATCTGAATGCATCTCCTAATACCACTTAAATGCCATACAGTGCCTAACATCTATTAAAACATCTATCCTCAACATGAGTTTAGGCATGCCTAGCGGAAATATTTGTGTTCAGTTCATTCTGATTGGAGAAAATCAATTAATCGTTAGTCTGATTTATAACATGCAGCATATATCAACTGATGTACCCACTCTCCTCTCTATCTCTTTAGCTGCTGTATAAAATAGACCCATGCATTGATATAATATTTGAGCTATAAGTTCACTTTCACTCATTCCAATGTGGTTCTGCTGCTGCATTTGTTGTAGCAGCAAGCTCGGTTGCCATTTTTGGTGCCTGCCTTTCCTGGATGCAGTTATGCATGTGTGTAATTCCAATTATAGCTTGTTCCTGTGAGTTTTGGTATTACTCACAGCTGTTTTATTTCTTGGTCTTTGCAGATTTTCATAATTCTTTCATGTACTATAGCAGTAGGAACGAACCTCAGCCAGTTCATATGCATTGGTAGATTTACTGCCGTGTCCTTCCAAGTACTCGGCCATATGAAGACAATCCTTGTGTTGATTATGGGATTCTTTTTCTTTGGAAAAGATGGTCTCAATCTGCATGTGGTTCTGGGCATGATCATAGCTGTGGCTGGAATGATTTGGTATGGAAATGCTTCATCTAAGCCTGGTGGGAAGGAGCGCCGGAGCCTTTCTCTACCTACCAGCAGACAACCAAAGCATGGTAGTTTGTCAGATTCTAATGAACACGACTGAGAAAGCCTAATTCTCCGTGTAGGATGTAAGTTAAGCATACAAGGGTGTAGCTGATTTCAGAAAAACCAACCATAATTTTAAATTATTTTTATCCTGATTTTTGTAATTCTTATTCTTTTTGCATTGGGTTCACTCTGAGGGAATGGATCATTTTCCATAGGATTAGATTTTTTTGAAAATTTGCTTTTCTATTTCAAGAATATAATTTATATATTAATTTCTTTTCTGTGCAATTTACTTCAAAACAATCATTTTTCTTGATTCTGAGCATCATTTTAATTGAAGTTTCCAATCTCTTGAGACGTTCAAGCGAACACCATGACTACCTAGTGTCAAAGCATGTTAAATTAGCAATGCATTTCCCTTGTTAATCAATCCTTATAATTTTACGAAGCAAATTCTTGGTCTTCGAAGAATGTCTTCTTCAAAGACAAGTATCCATATAATTTTTATAATATATTTTATAAAGAAGAAAAAAATAAAAATAAAAATAATTAAAGAAAAAATGTTTTTTTATTTTTAAATATATTTTATAAAATATTATTTTTTTATTTTTTATTATGATCTTATTTATCAGTAAAATACTATTTTTAATAGAAAATAGATCTTTAAAAACTAAAATTTAGTTAAAAATTTGAAAACTTTTTTAAAGAAAATTTCGTATCATTTTAAAAAATTAACTAAAAATTTCTATATTGGTTTAGAAAATTGAATAAAAAACTCCATATTATTTTAAAATATTAAGTAAAAAATTTTATATCATTTTAAAAAATAGATTTATTAATCTATTCAAAAATCTATTTTCTATCTAAGAATATATATTTTAAATATGTTTTTTATTAAAAATTTTATATTTATATAAAATAAAAATATTATTTTCAATAACTCGATTTTTTTTCTTTATTGGATCGGAGGTGGTACGAGATGTTTTGATTGTTAATTTTTTTTAATATTTTTATAAATATAAAACTTTATTAAAAATAGATACAAAATAAATTATTTTTGATAGGAAAAATATTATGAATAAATTAATAAATAATTTTTTAAAATGATTTGAAAAATTTTACTTAATAGTTCAAAAAAATATGGACTTTTCCAGATACAAGCATTTTTTGTATTTAAATTTTGAATGAAATTCTATTTTGATATTTTTATTTGTCACATAAGATATCGATTGATGTTAACATTTATCATTCAATTTAAATGATTGCATAAATCAAAGAATCAAAATATGATAATTTTGGATAATTGAAGGTCCAATCAAAATTTTTTAAAATTTAAAATCAAAATAAAATTTAATTCAAAGTTTATGTTCTACTAGTGCTATTTATCCCACTAAGAATTAAAGTAACAAAATTGCTAAATGTCAAAATCTTATGAAATGAACACCTCCTTTGGGTGTGTGTATATATATATTTGTCTTGTTTGCATATCATTAGTTTTTCTAAAACAATTTTTTGTTCGAAAATTAGAATATACATATATATATTCTTATTTTATCTTATATTCTTAATTATAACTCCATTTTTTTTTTCAAAATAAGGATAATTACAAAATATTATAATCAATGAAAGTCAAAATTTAATTTAAAATTTTTTAAATTTTATGCAAAAGTCAAAATCAAACATAATATATAAGACAAAAAGGAATATTAGATATAAATGAATGAATGTATGTTGAATAATAACATAAGCAACCACATCTTGTACAATCTCATCACATCCAACATAATCTATATTAAAATTTCATACACATCATTTGTTATAGAAATATCACTACTTCCAACCAATAAACACTAATAAAAAGAAATCAAACACTAATAAGAAATATATTTAAACTTCAAATAATAATATTTTTTAACTGTTACAAAATCAGAGTACAATAGTTATATGATAGGAGACATAATTTTTCCTTTCAAGTTTCTCCATTTGTTCTTGATATCAGCAAAATATAATAATATCAATAGACATAGAAAACACACAATAAAATGTCTATAAAAAAAAATAAAGAATACTATAAATAAACTTGTGGTATGCTTACCAAAGTTCTATCTGTACACGCTTCAAAGTAGAATATAAAAATAAGTTTTCAACCTTTTCCCATTTGAGTGTAACTTGGGCTGGGTTAACCCAAGAACTAATTCAACTTAACTAATATGATTTGGGTCGGATTAAGTTAGAAGTTAACATCGATCGAATTAGGTTCTTATTCATGGGTTAACAACTTTTGGGGGGAAAGCACAGACTGTATCACGACTTACATGAACTCGACCTAAAAAAAAATTGTTTTGTTTAAAACAAACAATGCTAATGTGACTTACTCACCGGTTGCCTTCTTGTAACACTTTTTTAAAAACTCTGAGACCTACAATTTTATTTTAATAAAATAATATTAATTTACTTCTTATAATAATTCTTTGAACACATTATTTTTCAAACGATAATGAGACTATTGCTGAAATCCTCATTTGAAAATCAAATTATTAATTCTTTTTCAAACAAACAAATTAACAAAAAATTTTATATGATCCATTTCAATCAGATCCCATATAAATTGAGTTGGATTGGATTAAATCAAAAAGGAGATTGATTTGTCACATAATCCAATTCATGTTGACTTCAAGTAACTCAAGTTGACTTGAAGAATCTAACGAAGGTGCACTCTTAATTTTTCATACTTTCATTATGAAAATAATGATACTAAAAAACATTTGTTGTAAAATGCCGGAAAGTATTTCTAATGTCATATTTTTCTAAAAAATTAGAAATAATTACTTTCATAAAAAAGGAAAAACAGTAATAACTACTAATAAAAAAAAAACCTAAAATAGATGTAGTATGGTAAAAATATTGTAGAACACAGAATGGATACAAATCCTCCAATATAAGCTGGAAAAACTAAAACAGAAAAGAAGCAGGACTCTCAAAATTTAAAAAAAAAATAAAAATTCCTTACGATAATTACTTAGTTGCCCATGCTGTCCGCCAAAACTTTTTTTTCTTGTAAGCTCCATTTGTTCATTTTTCTCATTCTTATCCACTTTTGGGTTTTGTCGAACTGGAGACACATTCTTTCTAAGCTAAGCGTTGGAATAACCTGTTGGAACTAAGGATGGAGACACATTCTTTCTTTTTAAGCTAATCCGTTGAAACAACCTATTAGAACTAAGGATTACTATGTTCATTACGAATAAAGCAAGGTAACAAAGTCAATGTTTATTAAGCTTAAACAAGAAGTTTTCCTTTTTAATTCCTAAGACAAAATATTGAAACAAAACCTTGTTACGATAAGAAAGGTAAGTTTTCCTTTCCAATTTCAAATGAAAATATTGAAACAAAATCTTGTTCTTGTTGTGATAAGAAAGGTGTGTAGCCGACTCTAATGAGAGTATGGTCACGGGCAAGGAAAAGATTTACCGAAGATATGGGGGCCACAAGTGCGAAGAAATTAAACCAAGAGTTAGTACGTGTAAAATCTGTTTTCGTAGCGGTGAAGCAGAAGAAACTTAACCATGCCCTAAAGAAGCATCCCTTATAATTCCCTTAGCAGCAGCAATATTAACCATATTGACGCCTAAACCTTCAAGTAAATGCCTTTTGCGCATCAATGGGAAACACACGTGCTAAAGGAACTGAACATTTCAAAGAAGCAACATTTAATCTAAATATACCTATCAATGAAAGTTTACTTAGATAAAAAAAGATCAAAATTTTTTTGACCAAACAGATAAAAAGATCAACAAATGATTAATTAAAACAGTAGTCTGAAAGGGTTTTAAAAGCAATCGAAAACAAGAAGGAAAATCATATCAAAAACTTGTCTTGATGCAAACGTTGCTTAAAAGCAAGGAAATCAACTCTCTGCCTGACAATATATATTTGTCCAAAATTTATATGAAGCATTCATCGCTTCTTAGAGACACCAACAGTCTTCCCTCTGCGACCAGTGGTCTTGGTGTGCTGCCCACGGACTCGAAGGCCCCAGTAGTGTCTCAGACCACGGTGGTTCCTGCATGACAGTATTCACATGTTAGCTGCCATCCCATGCCCCAATATCCAGAAAGTAGATCACAATGAGTAAACTGAATCAAACAGAATGCAAATTATTTCTCAAGAATTTCTTAACCCACAGCAAATGATTGAATGAGAAAGGAAGAAAATAAAGAAAAATAATTTTAGCTAAGGAACATTTAAATATATATGATTTAACATTTTTTACTTTTGATCCAAAACATAATAATTGTAAATCATAAGTCTTACCATTCGTACACCATGGTTATTTGAGTATGTATGCCTAATTACATAAGCAAAAATGGCATAATATCTTAGATTTTAAGATTTCTAAGTTTTTGTAGCAAAACCCTCTTCTCATCTTAATCAATAATAAACATCATCAAGATACCACAAAAATACACCTAGCATTATCGCAATAACCTGCCCACCAACAGAAAGCTTGTAAGAGACTGCACAGAAAGCAAGCAAATATGAATGTAGGTTCCTACAAACTTGCCCACATGCAAGATAACACGCAGGAAAGACCAAGAGACATGTTTTACTCTCAGCATCAAAAAATTCAAATACAAATGCTATAGAAGAGAATATCTCAAATAAATTGTCCAAATCATTTTGTCATATGCTAGAAAATGCTTACTAAGAATGCGGAAGCAATTGCAAGTAAAAGGACATATTATGAGACTTAGGCAAACATAAACTCAAATTAAACAGAAACATTCATGCTTAGATAGAGTTGGCTTGATCATATCTTTTTAATTATCAAATAAATGGCAGATCAAATACACAAGGGCAATGATTAACACTACCACAAATAAAAAGAAGAAATAGTTAACCTGATCTTCTTCAAGCGCTCCAAGTCATCTCTCAACTTCATGTCAAGAGCATTAGACACAACTTGGGAATACTTTCCATCCTTGTAATCCTTCTGCCTATTCAGAAACCAGTCTGGAATTTTAAACTGCCTGGGGTTCGCAACAATGGTCATGAGATTGTCCAGCTCTTGTGCAGTCAATTCACCAGCCCTGATAACAAAAAGAAGTAAAAATCAAATAAGATCTCCACAGCAAATTACCAAAAACTGAATCCCATTGACAACATCCTCATGCCACAGACTGAGCTATATAAGTAATAGCAGCCTAGAAGACTATTTAAACTAAAGTAGATAGAATAAATCGACACTCATAATATTCTTCTTTTAATCATTTCAACATGAAAAAGCTAAAAGCATATCATATATCATTGCCTAAACTTTGTGCCATAAAAGCATCATTTC